GCTTAAAGGAAGCGTCACGCTGCTGGCTTCCACGCTGGATTTGCTACCCTCGCGTTATCAATCGATAAGGTGTGAGGCAGTAATTGTTGGACGAGTGTAAGCCCATGGAAGATATGATACGATGAGATAAGAAGGTGCGGCTGCTTGATAAGAGGTGCACTCCAGAATGAAAACGGGACGATAACGATAACGGTATCATATCTAGCACGCTCTTATCGCACCCCTTTCCACATCGATAAGTCTTGGTTTTTGCTGAACGGAAGTGGATTTCGGCGCCTTATCACTCCGTTGATAAGGCGCCACTGCCACTGAAACTTCACGTGTTGTAACACTTGGGCAGGACCTCTATCCACTCCAATACATAGCTTCCTTATCGTTCCCATGAAAATTATCGTGACCACTTCCTTTAATAATTTGGAGTGTCGCCTGGCATCGTGCGCCATCGTCCCATTTAGCGGAAAAGGTGTTGCCCGACGTCGGGCACTTGCCGCCAATGTGTTAATAAGCAACTTGCCTTGGGAGGCGCTATGCACTCGTCTGTGGTTAGTATTCGCAGTATCCTTTCTTTGCTATGCCATGGGGACTTCATATTCTGCGACTGGTCCTCGGACTTACGATCCCCACCTTCTATTGACCGAATATGACCTCCTTTGTTGATCTTTGTATAACGGACCGTTGTTCCTGCTTCTAACTAAATTAGCACTCTGAAGATTTGGGAAGGGGCGTGAAGAAGAAATGCAATATTCAAACTCTGATTTTTGACTTCGTGCCGGAGATAAACGGTATGTGATGTAGCAGCACAGCCTTATCGAACTAACGCCAGACTGCTTGAAGGCAGATCAACTACTCATCTTGCCGCTGCATCTCTGCGAGTTGCCACCCGACAGGCTTCCCGCACTGCGCCCAGAAATTTCCTCGACACCTGGCTTTGGTCGAAGGAATCGTGCATAGAAATGTGTTACTTCCCTTCCCACAAAAGTGCGCCATGTTTGTCACTAGTTGAAATAAGCAAAGTTTCATGCATGAAAATCCAGCTTCCGGAGTAAAGAAGTAGCCTGCGAAACTACTCTCTGTAGACAGTTCACAGATACCTGACGGAGCCAAGGTAGCCCATGGAACGAAATACGTGGTGAAGCGACCAAGTATTAGGTGAGACTGGATTCAAACTCTCGTATTCGGAGGTGGGCACAGAACGTCCTGACATGACGGCTCAGGATAGATATATAGATGGATACTTACAGTGTTGTTTTTGCTATAGATGAAATGGCAGAAGATGCACTGTATGCTCATTACACTTGACCACTTCGACCTGACCATGATACCTTTTCCCTACTAGTGACGGTCCAATGGTTCTCAAGAAACGTTCCCGTGCTCAATTCCTTCAAGCATCTAAGAACAGTTCATGTTTATGAACTGTTCTTAGATGCTTGTAGGAAACACAGCTCTATAAAAAAGGTGGGAAATGAGATGTTGTGGTAATAAGGTTAGTGCTATCACCAGTGTTGACCTTCCGTTTATGATAGGCTCTCTCACTGCAACCTGTTCCAGCGTTACAAATCGAGCTCAAAGGTATTCACTCTCTGATTCGAACGTAAACTGCAGTTCAGCGACTGACAGATGACTATTTCACGTATTGTTTAGAGATGCAATTTATACAAGACTGTGGTCTGTTTGAGGCCACATCGTTGCTAGTTGTCGCCGATCCTTGTGATGATGTGGGCTCGGCTGGAAGTGCTCTGAATGCTCTGTTGAATGCTGTGAGTTCTAAGCAAGACCGTATTCCTCACGTTTCGCTATAATGGAAAGATCCATCACAGGTGGAACAGCTCTGCGCTCAGCGTGGGCTCTCTGTATTGAATGAGCAGCTACTAGAGAAGTCGAAGATTCTCATCCTCCTAATTGTAAGTGTTTTTTTGACAAACAGTGATCAAATATATTAGGTTGTCTCATAAGTAGTGGCGCATTTTTTCAAACGGAAATTTTTCTTGTGAACCTCTAATGTTTTACAATGTTTCATATACCATTCGATAGGAAATTATCTGCTCTACAAGAAGGTATGTACCCTTTTTTTGATTGTTGCAAATTGTTTGAGTTTTAGGCATGCAAAGTGGGAGCTTCAGACGACGAATTTTCGCCAAACCGACAGCTGACCTAAACTTTATACTTCCCTAGAAGAAATCAATCAATAATGTAACTATAACTTACTCATAACCTCTACTAAACATTCCACATTTAGGTTCCCTAAAAGCTTGTCTCGTTTAATTTTGAGATTTAGTTATTCCAGTGCAACTCGGTGGTTGCCTGTCAACCCATAGGGCTTCCTTCAGACTGATATTTTCCATTCCAATTCCTCAGTATTGACGCTACTTTATACACCTGTAGGAAGCGTTTCTTCTGCTCTACTTACCCGCATGCAGAATTTGGTTTTGATTTCAATCCTGGTCGAGTTTCAGCATAGAAAATGGTGGTATGTCAAGTCGACGAAAAGGAACACTTCCGGCACCTTCTGCTGTTCACCTTCAACCAAGGATCGAGTGCCACAAAAGCCGGCAGGCAACCACCGAGTTGCACTGGAATAACTAAATCTCAAAATTAAACGAGACAAGCTTTTAGGGAACCTAAATGTGGAATGTTTAGTAGAGGTTATGAGTAAGTTATAGTTACATTATTGATTGATTTCTTCTAGGGAAGTATAAAGTTTAGGTCAGCTGTCGGTTTGGCGAAAATTCGTCGTCCGGACCTCCCACTTTGCATGCCTAAAACTCAAACAATTTGCAACAATCAAAAAAAGGGTACATACCTTCTTGTAGAGCAGATAATTTCCTATCGAATGGTATATGAAACATTGTAAAACATTAGAGGTTCACAAGAAAAATTTCCGTTTGAAAAAATGCGCCACTACTTATGAGACAACCTAATAGAACGCACTCTTTAGGGAGCATCGAAAAAGGCTATGCCGCTAGGTGCTGGTTTCCTGTCTTCTTTAAAGGTTACCGAATTTCCTTGGATCATGCCTGACTGTCCAGTAGCTCACGCGATTCATAATGTGAACGAACTGGCGAAGAATTGCGAACAAGGAGTATGGATTTGCGGTAAGGATAATTTAGGCGGTCTAAATAGCAAAATTTTTGTAGGACAAGGGCTGCAGCGGACTCTGATACCCTTTATCCTGTGTGAAGCTACCATATTTTTCGCCGTCGTCAGTAACCCCGTACGTCATGCCCATTGACACATGACGAGCCCATGCTTTAACACATTGACGACGGCGCGCGTTTTGGCTTTTTGGCCACGTGGGACAGGGGCGGTTTTGCGAGCACCTCGCGCTCGTGAGTTTCGAATGATAACTTGGAAAGCACCAGGTACAAAAACATTTCAGCAACATTCAATGCGTAGAAGGTAATAGAGTATATAGTGACGAAGTTCCGATTAAAGAACATGTAATGGTAATGAAAAAGGAAATTTTAGTCATTTTATCTGTAGTGGATGCTGGAAGTACCCCTGATGTGTTGTGCCAGGTGGAACATATACGGAGGTGGCCAAAAAAAAGAGACACTTCACTCCACATTCAATGCAGCATTAATCACACTTTGTTCAAATCAGCCCCCCACATAGTATTAAAGAGCACATCCCAATCTATCAACAAACGTTACAATAGCTTTCGCACCAACGACATCACAAGAATTCGTCATGGGAACCTTGTGCACGGTTCGAGCTCAATGTGGTCGTCGAGGGACCATAGACCATTACGACGTCATTTGAAAGCTGGTCAAAAGCGGTCTTGCACAGTCACAGCTAGTGTCTCTAGAAAGCTATTCACCAGTTATCGATTGAAGAAATTATGTAGCAGCTTCAGGCTGGAGCGATTACGGTAGGCCTCCTTGAGCTCGACGGTGATGACAGATGACGTCATATTCTGAAGACGGTGAGGCAGTGAAGGAGGGCCTGCTTCTGCTTATGGGGGACATCTAAGGATATTTTGCCATATAAACTTTCATCAACAGCGGCACCCTGGGCGACGAAATGTTTGATGATATGCGCCATGGGCCAAGTGGGTCCTGATATAGTATTCAACTCAGTGCGAGGGCGCAGACGAGCAGAAAATGGGCGCCAAATGGCGCCAGCGCAAAAATGAATGTCATATTCGTAATCAGGACACCAAATAACCCCTATGTACAAGTTTACACCGAATTTGGTGAAAACAGCCGTCGTGCAAGGTGGCGCCAAATGGCGCCAGCATCAAAAATGAATGTCATATTCGTAATCAGGGCATCGAATTACCCCTATAGGCAAAGTTTCGACGAAAAATAAAATTTTGAGATTTTGGGGCAGTAATAGTGGAATAGTGTCATTTTCTATCCCTTTAAGTTCGTATTTACTTCTTTTGCTCTTTTTCATGATTGACATGTTCATGAGAATAGGAAGAAAACGAGGAATGAACCGAGCTGCCAATTCCGCTGTGCTTGAAAAACTTCTGCTAAACTGGAGCATATTTGATCATACCGTGACCCATGTCGTTTACAGTTATGTTATGTTGTAATCCATAGAATAGAGACAAGCAAATTGGGAAGAAGCCCGCATGCGCTAGAAAAAGGGATGACAAGGGTGAGACGTGCAAGCGCGTCTCAATGTCCACGGCAATGCGCAAAGAGAGACACACGCAACCGCCTACTGTTGTCAATGTGTTAAGGAACAATCTAAACAAGATCAGTTACTGCTATTTTTCAATAGTGTGTGGTGTTTGCTGAAGCGATCAGTTGGGTTTTGAATAATTTTTGAGGGAAAACGAATTTGAATCGAACAGTGTGCTATGGTTGCAGTCTTATTGCTTATCAACGGCCGTTCACCAATGAACAGCCATCTCATCTCCATGTATGGCTCTAGATAACGAAGCCTCCGTTCGGATAAGTTTGACGGGTCGGCGTTTGCACAGGAAGTGCTTCTTTGACAACTCGAAACACGTAGCAGGAGCGCTAGTGGTTCAAGGTTCCAACCTAAGGCACCACAATCAATCAGAACATCCACTATTACATCTGCACCTCGCTCGTCTACCATGCTACTCGTTTTTAATCCCATTTCCCGCCTCGGCGAGCAGTATTCCTAAGACTGCCTGTCTTACTGAGTCGCTCCTTTGCCTTTATTGGAACCATAGAAGTTTTCAACGGTCACCTTCCACTTCTCTTCACAATCAAGTCAAATAGTCTGTACTGCTTCTTGTTTAAACTCCCATATAGCGCCTGTGCTATCGCAAGTGTATTGTGCCTTCGAGCTGCTATTATTTGAATTTGATTGAGTGAAACCGTGAGGCTCTTGCAAGTTAGGGAAATTACGCATGCAATCAAGGAAGAACGTGGAGGTACATGTGATACGTCTCTTGAGCACGCACGTATAGAGGGGAGGGCACTGAAATTGGAGACGTTCTGTGATGACAACACTCCAAACACAAAATAAGCTCATTCTGTTCTACAAAAGAAACTTTATAATGACCTTCTACGTGAATGACTTTAGAAAAATCTGCCACTGAAGCATTATGCACAGATCGAGCTCAATGGAGTACTCTATAAATCGTGCAACTTGTAACGTTTTCTAAATCTCTTGTTGAAAGGGAGTTTGCATTGTCAGAGCCATTTAATTCTCATGGGAAACTATTCAACAGTGAGTGGTTTAATTAATAATGTAAGAGCTCTAGGCTGGAGCGATTGCGGTAGATCTTGAGCTCGACAACGTCATATTCCGAAAACGCTGAGGGCAATGAAGGAGGGCTTGCATCTACTCATACTACAATACTGCTCCTAATTTTTGAAACATCTACGCGTGCGACGGTTTTGTAGCGTCGCAAACCGTCGCACCGTCATAACTCCCTCGAAAGCGGGTAAAATGAAAGGATCTTTACAGCAATGGACTCGTCTCTCTGTGGCGAGTCTAACCATGTACGAAACTTAGAATTGGTTGGACAGGTAATAAGTTATTCCATGAAAACTATCGTCGATCCCTCGTTTGACAGTCTCGCCTCTCCTCGTTTCCATTATCTCTCCAATCGGGGACCAGCTCTTAGCTACCGCCTCGATGATTTCGTAACGCCTCACTTCGAGCCCTTTGCCACTTACGACTGAACGTAATTGCACAAACGCTCGCCTCTTCGAAAAAAAATTCCCGCGCACGCTCGGTATAACAATTTATTAGGTTGTCTCATAAATAGTGTCGCTTTTTTTCAACCAAAAATTTTTCATCTAAATCCCCATGCTTTTACATCGGTCATATACCATTCGAAAGAGAATTGTCTGCTCTACAAGATGCTATGTTCTTCTTCCACTATGTTCCAGGTTTTCAAATTTTAGGCCTGCGAAATGGGAGGTCCAGCCGACAAAAATTGACCAAACCGACAACTAGCTCTAACTTTATTTTCCCTGGGAGAAATCAATCAATGATGTACCCTCTACTTACTCATGACCTCTTCTGAACATTCCACCCTTAGGTTGCCGAAAAAGGTTTGCCCTGTTTCTTTTTTCGAATTGGCCGACCGATAAGCCATGGCAATTTTCAAATTGAAATTCTTCCTCTGAAACGCTATTGTTTTATATCAACTGGTGTTCCTTTTGTGAGCACTTCTTCTGCTCTATTCGCTCATTTGTTTTGTTTTATGTTTGTTGGGAATTAGTTCGAATTTTAGGTGTTTAGGAATAAGGTGCTTTATCCACGAAAGTGACCGCATTTCTTTGAAAAAATTATCCCTGAGAAGATGAGAAAATCAACCAGGCGTACATTCCTAACTTAGTCATGACTTGTTCTTCAAATTCTACTAGTTTTTCAATGTCTCGGCTGTAAAAAAATTTCGACCTAGATCTCAGGTAATGGTGCTCGACCGTCGAGTTCTGGTTGAAAAACCAGGTCTGGAAATGGAATGACGCGACTTGTTGGGAAACCTAATAGTGTAATGTTTAGAAGAGGTCATGCATAAGTAGAGGGTACATCATTGATTGATTTCTCCCAAGGGAAGATAAAGTTAGAGATAGTTGTCGGTTTGGTCAATTTTTGTCGGCTGGACCTCCCATTTCGCAGGCCTAAAATTTGAAAACCATGGAACATAGATGGAAGAGAACATAGCATCTTGTAGAGCAGACAATTCTCTTTCGAATGGTATATGAACGATGTAAAAGCATGGGGATTTAGATGAAAATTTTTTGGTTGAAAAAAAGCGACACTACTTCTAGCGAAAGGTCTTAAGGTCTCGCGAAGTACAAAACACACCCCAGCTAGCGGAGCTCCTCCCACAGTGGGCGTGGCGTGCATCGAAATGAACTGTACTGACAACCAAGATTCAAGTTTTTTAACAAAACAGCCTCGAAACTGGGAAAAGGTGCGCATTGGTAAGTCAGATGGAATTAGGGAAACCCACCCTCGGTGGGCGGACGTTCTCTGAAAAAGCAGTGCTTAATGGAAAAAGTCTACGGACAACTCAGTCCTTTGAAACCGCGTCGACTCGATGCTCTCGCCTGCGCTCTCTCGCTTAAACAGCGGCTTATGATTACTTGTGATCTGACACATCCAAACTTTGCCACAATGTAATTGGCTCACCCACTCCGGAGTCCCTTCTCCCTCCAAGGCTTAGTCCTAGGGTTGTCACCTTCCTTCTTGGGTTTTGGAGCCGAGCCAGGCGCCGTTCTCTAATCGTCTTGGCCTTTCGCGGCAGAGAACACAGGGGAGAGTTCAAGTAGTCACGTAATCAATGGAAAAATTCACAACTCGGTTAGGTGAAAGTCTATAGAGCAGAAAAAATCGGTGTAGCGAAGCAATGTCTAGGGTGTTCCCAGCATACATGACGTGAGCGGAGACCGCCCACAATGGGCGGAGCGTGCTCTGAAGTGTAGAGCGTTTTCTACAAGTCCTCATAATTCGGTTAAGTCTTGGAGAGCGGGAAAAAGGTGGATAGAGGTTAGAGAAGGAGAGGCTTGAATGCTAAAGGTGGGCGCGGCGTGCACAAAAGTGGGTAAAGGTTGCTAACAATATTGTAACCCGGTCTGGGAAAAAAGCAAACAGAGCTCAGCGAAGGAGATGAAGCTATTTGCTATGGGTGGACCGGGCATGCACCAAAAGGCGGGTTATCCACAAAACATTATAACTCGGTTCCCAAGAGGTTCTGGAGACCGGAAAAAAGTGGATCGAGTTTCAAAATGGAAGGGAGGTCGCTATTGGTGAGTGGGGCGTGGCCCATTGCGATGGGAGCTTGCGTCA